TAGCCTGATTCATTAGTCAGTTTTACTTTGTTTCACTTTGTACAAACCGTCTGACCTCGCAGCCTTAGATTTTGTTCACTTGACGGTAGGTGGGTACTTCTTATCATTTAACCAATCGCTGCTATTTGGTCGTGACGTATGTAATGCGCCACTAAGGGAGCTAACTGGTATATTAAGCTTTTCCCAAATCCCGTAGGAAGAAGGACAATAACGTCTTTCCCCTTAATAAAATTCACCAAACATTCTCATTGTTCCATCTTTAAATCCTCGATCTCGGGAATCGTTGACAACACTGAATATAGGGCTCTTTGCTGATTGGCTGGTGCCTGAACTTGCACTTCCGGGGTTTTTGTACTCTATTCTAGTCTATTGTATTTTGATTCCTGACATAGTTGATGGAGAGAAATGAAATTGAGCGGAGGCACTAGATGGCACCAGCCTGGGTAATTTTGTGGGGCAGTGACAGTCCGTAGAAAGGAAGTCGGTGTGGAGTCACAGCCAAGAGTGGTGGGATTGCGATGTGCTTCACTGCTTCACTGACACAAAGTTCTGACACAATTTTCATATGACAAGAACATTTGTGTACATTTTAAGCGCCTACTTGTACCACTGTCATGTTCAGACTGACATCACATGTCAAAAGATCGGATATGTATCGGTTTTAGGAGCACATATCCAAGTGGCCTGGGTCACATTTGAAAAAATCAGATCTGTGTCATTAAAAGATCAGATACAAGTCACACGGGTGAAAAAATCTGATTTGGGTCACTTCAGGCTGCAATCTGAAGAGTGGAGATGCAAGCCTGAAGAATAAGACTGCATGTTTTTCATGAACTTGAACATAGCCATAGATTTGAAAATAGTGCAATATATACCCTTCAAATACTGTATTGTGTTTTTATTTATCAGTATTACGTCTATGTTTTGCCTAGAATGTTCCAAGGTGTTGCATTAAAATATTATATTAGGCATTTATTCAATTACAGTTGTTGTTATTACCCATAAATTCATAAAAAAAAAAACCATGGGGTCTTATTGTGAGCAAATGCTCCCCTCTACAGATCTGACCAATAACTTGACCTGGTTGCGTCGCCATGGGGATTTATAAAATTTTAATGCCATACTGGGAAACGACACAATTTTCTTCTCCATTAGAGACAAGTAGTTGGAAGAAACTCCATCGGAAAGCTAGGCATCTTTATGGCAACGGGGCTAATTTTGGTTCACCCTGAAAACCATGGATGTCTACAGGTGCGCTGCTGTTGAATGCCACCTGTCTACTCACTCCTGACTCACACATTCATTCATAATTTACATATTCCTCATGAATAATGGAGGCCTAAAGGTAAATAGAGCCGGTCGAGGTCATTATCTTGCAGCTCTAGAGAAGCATAAACACAGGAAGAGAGAGCAGAGGGCTGACCACTGCGGGCACCAGGAACTCACAGGGGGAAACACTGTCTGACATTCACTGGACATTTCAGGCAATCTTCCTTTGGTCTCCAGTGCTCATTAACAAACTCAAAATTGACCTAAAGTGTAGAATTATACAACACAGAGGGACCAAAGTGAATCATGTGAAAGGCCCTGTGCCGGATTTTTGTCCATGTATTTCTGCAACATTTGTCTTTCCCCAGAACAGAAATATAAGTATTATGTAAGCAGCTTTCTAGGTTAAAATAAGTCAACTGTGTCTTGTCTGCATCTAATTAGAAACATTTCATTGTCCGATAATTAGTTGTTAGCTTTAACTTCATACTCCGTGCTTGTAAACTCATCGCAGTGAATGATTAGAATGTCTAGGAATGGATAAAGTAAGTGAGGAATAACTTTTAAACAAGTTGTGTTTTTCAAGTTTTAATCCGGTGTCCTGTCGATTTGGACTACCTGAGGCACAAATTTCCCTCTCTTTGTGTGTTTATATGTTTGAAATAAATGTTTGTTATAATGTTTCCTCATCCATCATGACTAAGAGACTAAGAGTACATTTTTATTGGCACTATAACATTGAATTGTATGGGATTATCTTCAATGTCCCCAGTATGACAAAAGTGAAGTGTGCGCCCTCTAGTGGATGTATTATTTAGGAGAAGATATAGTCAAGATTTGCTACCTCTACCCAAATTCATATAAAAGAGTAAATAATGGTGATTCTACAGTGGGAGCATTATTCGATGGCTCAATTGGCTTATTAGAATGTGCTACCTTTAGTGGGAGCTTTATTTGATAGAAGATATAGGTCTGTCGAAATGAGCTACCTCAGCCCAAATTCATATAAATGAGTAAATAATGTTGATTCTACAGTGGGAGCATTATTCGATGGCTAAATTGGCCTGTCGATATGTGCTACCTTTAGTTTCGGAGCCCTATTTGAACATAATACGACTGTCGAAATGAAGTACCTACACATGCTCAAATGAATTGAAATTGAGTTGAAATTTGACATAACTAACATATAAAGTCTGATCACCGTGTGCAAACAGTATCAAAACCGCTGTCTCTTAGCTTTATAGACCTTTTTCACAACAGCCGGAAGTGCCGCAATGTCACTTTTGTTAATGCTTTTCTATGGCAAAATATCTGTGGAAAAGTCTTTGGCACTTCTGGCCGTTGAGAAAAATGTCTATTGGTTCTACACAATTGTAAATGGAAAAATGCAAGGTAACTTATTTCAACGGGGTAGCGTGAATCGATAGACGTTACTGTCGATTTAGGCTGCTGGGAGCTCATTTTGACGGAATACCGGTAAAGAGTGAGGTAAAGTGGAATGGGAGAGTCAGGACAACTTTCTGCTTGTGGATTTAGACAAATGAGAAATTTGAAATTTGAGTAGTTTTACTTAACTGAGAAAATATTTTTTCAAACTAAATTATCAAAGTTAAAGTCACAAAAAACTAAATGAGCCAGACACCCTAAAATGTCTTTTCAATAACCATTACTGCGCATTCAATAACATCTGTAACTGTAAAACTGAAAAAAAACGTGGAGGAATTGATTAGTCATGCATGGGATGTTCATTTGAAAAATAAGTTTGGAGTTGGCTGTAATTCACAAAAAATTACCGTGAAAACGAAAATAATATCCGGGTTTCAATTAACTGCCAGGTCCCCTTTAAATGCCGGTGCAGGTGTATATTTTGATAAATACCTGCCGGTTCCAAATAAACGCTGAGTCTAATGCAGTCTAGTCCAGCAGCTGTTCTGGCTGCTGCCAAGGAAGCTGCTCAAACTCCCTTTTCACGTTTTTTAATGTTTTATTTAACCATGATAACATGATTAGTGCAGCGACACCATAGAGAGCGTGATGTTTACAGCTGACACAGTAGCAGTTTGACTTCAGTTCAGTCCTGCCTTTACCAGACTGGTTGTGTGACTCGGAATAGATAGGCTATTTCACCTTTTCTGAAAAAGGTGAGGCTGATCGGTGGAACAGATGACGTTGCTGTGAAATCCCTATTTCGCAGTGATGTAAAAAAGAAAAATGGCACAACATAGCAGGCAGGAAATCGAAGCAGTTTTAGGAGGTTTGGTAATATTACCTCAGTTTGACAATTCGGAAGAAGCAGCAATGTCACTGTAGCTGCTGTGGTGCAAGAGAAAAGTTGTGGCAAAGCAGTGAGAAAAAGCAGAGGACGAGGCGGCAGGAATCAGGGCAAAGTAGTCACCAGGCCGCTATATAATGGCGAAGCCTCCTCCGTAAAAACTGTAAATTATAGGCTACGTTTACACTGAAACGAATCACCGTATCACAGTATCAGAAACGATTTGCGTCCAGACACGTCATTTCTGTGTCTGCAAGCCTTCCCTATCCAAACAGCTTTAAACATATTTGTTTACCTTTTACAGAAACAAAACTTAAAACCGCATGACTAATTTGCATAAACTGAGCGCTCAAATGCAATTCAGCTTCTGTCAGACTAAAGGCCCGTTCAGACCAAAGCGTCAAAGCGTCCACTTTCTATGTAAAGTCTATGTGGACGCGCGACTAGAGCGTCCTGCGTTTTTGCGGCGCGTTTTTGGCGTCAGCGCGGCGCGAATCTGGCGTCGACTTGAGCATTTTGGCGTCAGCGGCCAAGACGCGCGTCCAAGGCGTCAGCGTCAAGAAGTTGAAAATGCTGATCTTTTCGCGTCAGACGCGCCGCGTCAACCAATCAGGGACGAGTATCCAGAGACGCAGCGACGTTATTATCAGGAAGCAAGACCCGAGAACCAGAACGAGAACCACAAACATGAGCGGAGCATAAATATATACGCCACAATCACCGAGCCGATCGCAAGGACTACACCAGGACCGGACCAGGACCAAACCAGGACTCGACCGGGACTAAACAAGGACTAGACCGGGACTAAACAAGGACTAGACCGGGACTAAACAAGGACTAGACCGGGACTAAACAAGGACTAGACCGGGAGTAGACCGAGACTAGACCGGGACTAGACCGTGATTAGACCAGGACTAGACCGGTATTCGACCAGGACTAGACCGGGACTGATTCAGTGTCATTAGTGGAGTATAAATATATATACGCCCCAGTCATCGACCCGATCTCCTCCGCTGATGTTTTATGTCATAAAAACACTCTCTCATCTGGTCTGATATTGTTTCGGGAAAAGACCGGGACCGGGCTCTTGTTTCCAGGGCAACGGACGCGCGTCAAGTATTTTTGTCCCGTTTGTTCACGGCGTCAAAGACGCACGTCGGGGGCGTCTAAACTCAAATGCAAAGGCTCCAAATAGAGGCGTCAAGGCGTTTTTTGACGTTTTGGTGTGAACGCCCCTTAAAGGACATGACTCAGGGGAATATGAGTGTTCTTTCTGTGACAGAGGGGTGTTCTGCTGATGGTGAGTCTGTTCTGTGCTTCTATCGTGTTAGAGATGGTTCATGTGAAACCTTTCAGATTATATGTCTGCAGATCATACACATAGACCACATATATGAATGGACATATATTCTAGCCTCTTAGCATTTTGACAATGAATTACTTTGTGGCGCATAGTCCTACATCAGCATATCTGCATTTTCTGGCGTCCACACGGTGCAGGATCAGATCCATTGGATTAGTGTGGATGAACACTGCATCTGCAACAAAAACGACTCGAATAGGTACTAGTGTGGACGGGGCCATAGTCATAAAGGTTAAAAGAATTTGAGCACCAGATTTTCCCTGTTTTGCTGAGCAAGATTTTTGTAAGGAAGGAATTAATCGCCTGCCCCAAATTGTCACCTGGTCTCAAATAAATGCCTGGTCTGTTAAGTGATTAAAACAAATAAATGCCCCAGCCATTATTTGGTATTTTATGGTATGAATACATCCTATATCAAAACAAATTGGTACTCACCCTGTAATCACTGGCGGTGACGTAGAAGATTGGCTGGAAGGCGAGCCAGATGATGCAGGTGGTGTACATGGTGAACCCAATGAACTTTGCCTCGTTGAAGTTCTCGGGACACTTCCTGGTTTTGAACGCGTAGAAGGTGCACAGGATAATCAGGATGCAGTTGTACGTTAGCGATATTAGCATGCTAGTGTCTCTGCTGTTACACTTCAGCGTCACTATGTCCCTTTTCTCCGGGCTAACTTCTTTCCTCACTCCTGGAGCTTCAACTAGCATCCAAACCACCACCACAACCAGCTGGCAGGATATTAGCGCTCCGCATATAGCCACTTGCGACGCCGGACTTATAAACCTAGGTCTTTGTGCGCCATCTTTCACTCCGCTGAATATTCTGGCAATGCGGTTGGTCTTGGTTAGCAACGCGGAGTAGCATACTGCAAAGGACGTACCCAAACCGAGCCGTCGTAGCGTACAAACTGCCGTGGAGGGCTTAGCGATGTATATAAAAGTCATGCAGTAGCACATGAGCACTCCCAGCAAGAGGATGTAGCAAAGTTCGCGCCCACTAGCTTTGACGACGGGCGTTTCATTGTGCTTGAGGAAAATCCCAATGACAAACACGGTGCACATCATTCCCAGACATGAAATGGTCACCGGTCCGATCGCCCAAGCATCTTCCCAGCGGATATACTCCTCTGGTAAGTCGTAGCAGCCAGTTAAATTAGCAAGAGGCCATTGTCCAAAACTGCAGTCTGCGCAAGTGAATTCGTCTTGAAGATATTGGTACGGTTGACAGGGTATGCAAATCCAACAGCACACATCTCCAGGCTGCATGTTCTTCACTTCGTTCTTCCTGCAGGGGTCGCTACACTGGGAGGTGGGAACGACCTGCGAGGGCCATGGGATTCGGCTGGTGTTGAGGACCAGACCTTGGGCCCAGTAACCAACTTTTTGGTAAACGTAACGGCCTTCCTCCTTGTGGTAGTGGAAGATATTGTAGCGGCCAATGCTGTCTCCGAAGGTGTCAAAGCGGACCACATTTTGGCGGTCAGGGGGATGTAAAGGAGCTAAAAGAGAGAATAGAAGAAATATGTGTTAAAAAATTGGCAAAAATAACATTGAAAGTATTCCAACTGGTGGTGTTCATGTGACACACAGGTGTCCCCATAGGTCCCATATTGCACTATGTTATGATATTGTTTACAAGCAGTGTAACGGTACATGTATTCATGCCGAACCTTTTTGGTACGAGATGTTCGGTCCGGTGCAGGGCTGTGCACGAGTGAGTTTGTACAATTTGTGTGTTTACATTTCGCCACTACATGTGCAGCTACATGGAAGGCTCGACTCTTTAATATTCAGAGGGAACTTGTCCATGATTGGGGTGGCAGTGTTTCCCGCAGTGCTTTATAGTTAGGGCAGCCGCCTTGACAACAATTGCCACCCCACCTTGACTACGTCCCTCCAAACCACATGAATCCTTGCAAAGCTACAGTCGTCATGCCCCAGTCCTCACTCTCTCGAAAGGCGAAAGTGAGGACCCTACACCCCTATTTACTCATTACAAACATACCAGGAGTTGTGTTTTGTTTCATTTACCCATGTTCAACACACAAACTCTGCATATTTAGTCTGAGTTCTTTTCTTGAACTGTTCCACCTTGTGATATTATGTGGTAATACACCCCTGGAATTGCCAGTCTCTACTGACCTAAAGGTAAAAGTTATCTGTTAACTTGAAAACTACCACTTCATGACACCACAAGCATTTTGCAATTTGAAGATGTAGACCGACTAATAATAAAGGGTTATTCAAACATGTGTGAATGAAACAAGACACAACTCAAGGTATGCTTTTTGAGGCGGCAACAACATTATAACTTGGCTTAAAGCTTATAAGACTAAATTTTGCATAGGACCTGTAAGGTGCAATCACTCTTGCACAATCACCACATTAAAATGGGGACTACATTGGGACTGTACTCGAAACCAAACCAAGACTAGATCAGGAGTAAACCTGGACTAGAACTGGACCAAACCAGAACCAAACAAGTGTGAATGCAAAACTAAGCAGACACATTTCTGTGTTGTCAGATTGAAGATTTGATTTATGTCTATCCACCTGAAACAAAAACTGGCACAAAATTCAATACCCTCTTTATCAGCATGAATAAACAAGAGTGAGTTCATTTCCACAATAGCTTCAGGAAATGCTGCCATTGTTCAACCCTAATGGTATTATTATAAGATTAATATGGGAAATTTGTGCTAACAACAAGGGAAATCATTTTACTGTAGTTTTTATGATTATGTAATGAAATCATCTGGTCTCCCTCAGAGTAGGTGTTGCGGATCAAGTTGTCAGTTTGTTCTTTGCAGATTTGAATTTGTTAATGAAGTCACTGAAAGTAATTAAAAGCTTCATATTAAGGTTTTGCATCTACGTCACAAAACCACGTGACCTGGTGCTGATGCTACCACATTGAAGGCCAAACTATCCATCTGGACCAATGTGTAGTATTTGTGTGCGATAAAATCTGAATTGAATAGCAATGGTTTTAACCTGTGTTGCTATTGGATGTTCTGCCTGGAGTCAATCTGCTAAATAAGGAGGCCAAAGTATCTTTCTATTGGATCCCGGCTGATAAAGCTCGCAGGCATGGAATCTCCCTCCCCACTCCCTGTTCTCACGCAAGGAACCCCCCCCTCCCCAACCCGGCCCTTTATTTCCACCATCTTGGGTCGCTCCGGCTCTGATTTTGACCTCCATTCTACTTCCCCTGGCTGTTATCAGGAACAGTTGTGATGTTTGGTGATCACCAAAGATCTCACGCATCTCCCTACAAAATATTTATAAGCTTCTAACCCCGTGTAGCTTTTCAGTTCTTGGTTGGTGTAGGATGATGTCGAATGAATGAAGTAGTGGTAAATATCTGGATACTAAAGGCTGGACAGAGAGCGAGCGTTGATTAGACTGACAAAGCGCTCCATTGGAATTAGATTGGGATCTATTCCACGACTTTAGCTTTATATCTTTCTAATAACAGATGATCTAACAAGCTGGTGATTTCGGACAGTTTTATGTAATTTGCGTTGTTTAAAGTCGTTGTAATAAACTGAATAATCCCAATCTTGACCTCTAGTATGGCCGCCAAAACATTAAATCACATGACTACACACAAAACCTTAATAGTTAAACAGAATAAACTGAGTAGACACTGCAGTGTAAAGCTGTACTATATGATGTCTCTGTAGATTAATACAAAGCCTAGTTGTAATCCGATCTCACATCTCAAGATCATAAAATCCTCTGTGTATTTAGTGTTAGAAAGGAGTTTCAAGTATTCATTATATAACTGATATACAGCCTATGTCTATTCTCAGGCAAATGGATCAAATGAGGCTGAACTGAATTTGGATTTTTAAAAAAATCTAAAAATCATTGCAATTAGTTTTAAACATATGTAGGAGCCCTAACATTTAAGAGCAGATTGCATTACTAAAAGCAACACTGCATCACTTTTTGGAGATGGTGTGACCCTTGCATGATTCCATGGAAATAGAAAGTTAAAACCATGTTGCAACTCTCTCCATGGACATACATGGGTTTTATGGCATACTGAGGGATATTATCTACAAAGGAACTACATTTCCATGGAAACACGCACGTGGAATTGCAAGCCCGATATAATAAAAACATAAAAAAGCACCTAATACAATAACGACATGCTTTTCAGAACATGTTTGCACAGGTCTTCTTGACTATACAATAAACTGACTGTGTACATAACAAGACCCAAGAACACTTTATTCTCTGCAGAGGACTTATGCCTAAATAATTACTGCTTTTTCTATTTTTTTTCATTCAAATTCTAATCACTGTTACACAGAAAAGTACCCAGAGTGTCATTTATGTAGTTCTTGTACACATAATTCAGGCGTATTTGAAGCAGAAGTGTGAGTTTGTCATTTGCGAGGTGCTATGCCTGTCTGTGTTCACACTTAAAGAGCTGCATGAGGCTGTGGAAATGTTTCATCTTGTGCAAATTGAATCATTACAGCTTTATCTGGAGCCTTAAGTGAGAGCCATGTCACCCCTGTGTATCTGAAACGGCCAAATGGATAATAAGGAAGATTTAAGTTCAGAAATGGTGGCGTGAAAAATGGCTCTTTGTATAGATTTCATCAATACAAACACTGCAGTCTTTTAATCTGTGACATTTAACACAAAAATAGTCAAATTTCTTCCTCCAAAGTCTTCCATCTGCTCCAAACCACCTGCTTTTGCTGACAGAGGATCCTGTATCTTGCATAACGATTCATGCATTAGTCTCATTACAGTTACATAGTTACATTTACAAACTTCTTGAAAAGATATGAAAATGTTTAGCAATTTTTTTCTTAAAGTTTTGCAGCATCTACTCTGCTATATATCTATGATTTTCACTGTGTTCGCTATGTTTTTTACTTATAAGTTATAAGTTCACTCAGAGTTCATTTCTTAACCTTGCTTGGTGCATTCAGAAGTCTATGAAGAACTTTTCTTCACTTTTCCAGAGACAGGACTGTGCTTCCTTATACATTTCTTATTACGTTTTATGTTTTTTTCAATACTGTATGTATACTGTATGAAATTGTATGGCATTGTACAGTTTCTGAAAACTTCTATATCTCGCATAGATTCAATTACAGTGTTGATATTTGCTTAAAAAACACATTGAAAAACATTGTGCTTTTATTGTAAGCAGGATCACCTCTGTACAGATGTGATCCGTAACTTGACCTGGTGATGTAACTAGATATACTACCTATCAAAAGTGTTTACTACTTTGTACATTTTATATACACACTAGGGATGGGCATTCGATGAAATTTTCTTAATCGATCGTCGGAAGAATTAACGATTGATTATCGATTAATCATTAACGTGTTTATATTAAAATGATCAGCATTATTATTACTATCTGCACTACTAATCTGCATACATAAATTCAACTTTACGACATATAAACCGTAATGACTCTAGAGCCACATCAATCCGTTTGACATTATAATGTGTTTAACGCAGTTTTGCGCAACTCTCACAAAAACGAAACTTAAAACCGCATCGCTAATTTGCAGAAACTCAGCGAAGATAAAACTACAGCTCTTGTGTCGCTGATGCGGTCAATTTCTGTTGGATTAAAAGACATGACTCAGTGGAATACAGGTTAGTGTGACCAGATTTGCGTTTGGACACCGTACGGGGGGTGGGAGGTGGGGACTCGTCATCAACATTGTGCGACTCTCACTTGGTAAAACTTTTTCCCACTGGACACCGAAACATATGTGCTGCTATGTACACTGTGCACATGGACTCACACTTGTCCCGAACGCAACGAAAAGCGTGGAATTTCTTGTACAAGTCATCGTTAAATACTCATTTGCGTTGCAGACTGACCGACTGTTTGTGTTTGCTCGCTCCTTCTGAGTGCAAAGAGCTACATGTACAGACTCCTGTTTGGTCACGCTACGCACAGCAACCTACATTGGGTTTGTCGATTAAAATGAACGTAATCGATGAAATTCTTAATGATAATTTATCGATTAATCGATTAATCATGCCCATCCCTAATACACACAGACAAATATACAATACAAATACATAAAGTAAGATGTATGGAATTATGTAACAAGAAAACAAAAGCTGAAGATGCATTGTGTAACTTTTTGGTTGGAGGTCCGTCACCTGCTTGTTTCTATGGATATGTTGCTGCTCTGCCTGGAATGTTCTGGAGTATGACATTAAACAGCTCTGCCTTACATTTATTGATTTAGAGGTGCTTTATTGCTCAAAAATACCTAGAAAAATAGGCTTTCTGACTGTGAGGGGTTGCCTCTCCACAGATCTGACCTGTAATTTGGTCTGGTTTGGTCTCCATGAAGACACAAAGTGTAATACCGTACTGTGAAACATTCCAGACAATGCACTTTTAAATAACGAATTTTGTCGAAAAATAGAATAACTTTTTCTCTTCATTACATAATTCCATATATTTTACTTCATATACTTGGTGTCTTTTGTATGTTTATCAAATGTACAAAGTAGTAAACATGTAGAAAGAAAATGAATGAGATGGTGAATCCGTGTATCATACGTTCATTCGTTTTTCAATATAAAACCAAAAATAAGAAAACGAAAAATCATTACTTGCCTCCAAAACCAAAATGAAAAAAAAGAATAATGATTTGTTGTTGTTTTTGTTTTTTCGATTTTGTGCTTAAATGAATAATGGAAAAAACGGATAACGGCCGTTTCCCATTTTTGTGACTTAAACTGTGATGCCGACTTTGCACCGCATACGGACTGAACCAGGACTAAAACAAGACTAAACCAGGACTAAACCGTTTTTAGTCCTTGTCTCGTCCCAGTCTCAGTCCTGGATTGGTCGTGGACCCGGACATTGTTTAGTCCTGGTTCAGTCCATCAGGCATCACAGTTTAAGTCACGGAAACGGGAAACCGTTTTTTCCATTATTAATTTAAACACAAAATCGAAAACTGAAAAAGCGAATTGTTGTCCGTTTTTTCATTTTGGTTTTGGAGACAAAAAATGAAGAAAACTATTGTTTGTTTGTTTTCTTATTTTTGGTTTTATATTGAAAAACGAATGAACGAATGATACACGGATTGTGGTGTCTCGAAACTTTTGGCTGATAGAGAGTAGAAGAGTTTAACGCCACACACTGAGACATTCCAAGCAAAGAAGTAACACCCATCTGCCCATCTCGTAAGTTCACCGTATATAAAGCATTCAAGACAAGACATCTCCATGGAAACAAGCAGGTAGTGAAAATCCACCAGAGTAGTTACATAGTGCCCCCTTTAAACAAAGATGAAAACGGCACTCACCCTCAAACTTGACCTTGAGAATGTAGTCTCTGTAGAACTTCCTGCCATTTCCTGGTTTGAGCGCGTCACAGACTTTGGTGGAGTTTGGACACAGGGCCTGTCTCATGTGATGCAAAGCGTGGGCCATGGCGTACACCGCGTTCACCACAAACATAATCTTGGACTCCGGCTGGAAGGGGACGTCTCTCAGCGAATGCTTCCCGCACCCCAAATCATGGAGACTGCACTGAAACTGATTCTCCCAAAACTCCCTAAACCACGGATTCCTTGTGTTGTTGTACGGATGCAGGTTTGTGAAATAATTGTTAAACTGCGGGATCTCGTACGACGCAAGCTCTATCGTGAACGCCCCGTCCGCTACAGCTTCGCTACCTCTCACCACGCTCTCCTGCGCCCCCCAGCCATCGCTAGCCACCCACGTAAAAGTCACATTCATGCGGTTTGCGGCGACTAGCAACTCCCTGGCGTCTTCGCTTCGTGTGAACAAGATCACCACTTTGGCGTTGGATTTTTGCTGCAAAGATCGGATCACGTTTTCGTAGCTATATCGACTCATCGAGCGGCTGACTTTGGCGGAGGTGGCGATGCAGATTTGTCTCGCGCGGGCTTCTTGTTGGAAAGCGTCAATGCCAGTTTCGCCGTAGTCCCCCTCAGAGGCCACCGTGGAGACGTAGGTCCAGTTGAAGTAGCGAAGGATTTCGGCGATAGCTTTAGCCTGGTAGAAGTCGGGAGGGACGGTGCGGGCGAAGTAGTCGTAGCGGGTTTTGTCGCTGAGCTTGGCGCTGGTGGAGGCGTAGCTGATCTGAGGGATCTGGAAGAGACGCAGCAGATTGGCCACCTGCAAGAAAAGAAAACAGATGTTACATAAATTAAGAGGTAGGGTACAAAATGCTGACATGGGAATGGATCATCAGATGCTTGCTCGCCAGATAACATGAGGCAAAGTTAAAATCATATAAAAAACAAAAACATACCTGGAGTTGTGTTTTGTTTCATTCACACATTTGAGTAACAGTTTGAGTAACTCTGGATTATTAATCTGTCTACATCTCCAAAACCCCAAATTCCCTTTCAACCTTGCAAAGTCATGCAGTGGTAGTTAATTGCTACCTTTTATTTTTACTTCAGGAGAGACGGGCATTTCTAGGGCTGAAATCCTCCGAATGATTCTAGTGAAGGTGTATGGAGTTTAAAAACACAGTGGGGCACATCCTGTTTTACCACATTACATCACAAGGTGGAACAAGGAGTGTTTTTCTTTTCAGAAAAGAACTAAATATGCAGGATTTGTGTGTTAAAACATGAGTGAATGAAACAAAACTTAACTCCAGGTCTGTTCGTGATGAGGAAACAACATTATAACAGATCAGAAAAAAGCATAATATGAGCCCTTTAAATAAATCAATCAGACATAAATATTTAATGGCAAAAGGCTTCCTCTCACTGTCCAAAGAAATTACTAAGCAGACATTCATATATCACATTTTTCTGACTATAAGTTGCACTTTTTTCATGGTTTGTGTGGTCCTGCGAATTGTATAACAAAAAAACAAAAGTTGAAGGTGTATTGTGTTGCTACTCCTATTACTCCTGAACTGCTGACAGTTGGCGTTCTACTGCGCTTGTCTCCTGCAGAAAGAGCCTCTGTCCTGTCTGTATCATGTCAGTGGATCGCACCATTACTTCTGTATCACTGAAATAAAATAAAATTTATGTGACTTCAGTGACAACCGGAACCATCCTGTCGGGATTCAGAAAGGCTGGAATAATTCTAACTAGAACTGATGTTGAGTCTGACAACGTCCGTTTACGTCCGTTTAGTGACACTGAGGATGAAGAATTCAATGAGATAAGTGATTGGCGTGAGATTGAGAGTTTGGTAAACTTCTTTTGGTAAGTTGTTTATTCTATATTTCACTAGCAAGGACCACACCAAGGACGACATAGTGCGAAGACGTTTATTGATGATGAACGAGGGGCGGGGATGACTGGGTTGAGACTCTGGGTGGGGGCTCCATCTGCAATTGGCCCAGCCAGAACGGGACCCCCCTCATAGGCGTCTTTTGGCTGAAAGACAAACAAGATAGGGGGTGGGAGGGTGGGGTTGAGTTAGCTGAGACAAACTGGGATGATGGGAAATGCTGCTACATATAGGCTTCCGGGAAATTAGAGGCGTGGTCAAAGTGAGCTGTGGTTCGCAGGTGAGGAGGAGAGAGCGGTCAGGGCGTGGTCCTGCTCCTGAATCTTAGTTAATCATATTTGATGTTAACAGCCTGTTGTTCTCTGTTCTATTGTTGTTACTATAAATTGCCTTTCAAGATGAAATGGCGGTTCCTGTTTTCTGATTTTATAAAATAAATTTCCCCCAAAAAGTGCGGTGCGACTTACATATGTTTTTTTCTTCATTGCTATGCATTTTTTGGCTGGTGCGACTCATACTCTGGAGCAACTTATAGTCCGGAAAATACAGAACTCTATACTCTCTAACCACCACAGCAGCAGAACTCCTCAGCCTCCCCAATAGAGGACAAATCCTTACCAGGACTACACATGTATTTCACTGGACACATTTCTAACCAATGCAAAAACAAGACAGAGTGACATTTGAGTAGGCTAATTATTGGTTGGATAAATGAAACTGAATTGGACCGTTCCCTGCTTGAATCACCCCAGAGACAGATGATTACACAGTGCTAAATGTAAATGAGGTGTTAAATGAGTTAAAGATGTTGGCTCAGCAGATGGCATTAGTCTCATTCACTCTCGGTGTTTTGTTGATTCCCGCTGATCTCGCCACACCTCGGCCCTCCTGCTGTGGAGCTTTCTGTCAGCCTAAAAATACAGCTGCTCCCCTTCCACTCGTTTAACTCATTACAGAAGCTAATGGATGTTTAGTCCAATGGGTGGTTTTCAGATTCTGCAGTGAGGGAATGTCATACTCACAGATGTGCTGGTAATTTGTCCTTTTGATTACACTGAATTTAGATAAAGAAACACTGTATGTAAAAGGTAAATTCTAGTTCAAATACAAATGTTGAACCTGATACTTAAAAGTGACTGTCCCTAGACCATAAAACTTGCTATATTTCAACAAAATGTAAATATAAAACCATTCATTTTAGCTGTGTCACAACTGTATAAAAGCCTATAGCAGATATCTCCAACCTGTAACTCAAAGTAGCTCACTGAGATTTTTAAATTTATTGTGTTAAATAACTGAAATTTTAATAATTACTGTTCTTGTGCACTAATAAATGGACAGTGGTGGATGAAGTACTCAATATTGTTACTTAAGTAAAAGTACAGACACAAAGATAATAAAAAGTTACTCAAGTAAAAGTATCACTTGAAAAATTCTGCTTAAGTAAAGGTAGTTTAAAAATGTTATTAAAGGTTGTATAGAGGATTTTCCAAGGAACGAGAAATCCAGCGACTGTTTGTCCTTTTTCAAATGTTGCGCATGCGTGAAACCACCCCCCCTCCCCTACAGCTCCCTACGTAGAAACGCCTCCTCCCGCCTCCTCTTTACGCCAGAAACAGGTTTGTTTACAGCCGGTGCGCTGCACATGACTTGTAAACAACTAACTACAGTGTTGGTTAGGCAAGACGGAGAAGTGAGGAGCGGGGGGAGCGGGTGCGCGGACATTTCGTGCACGGAGAAGAAGTGAGGAGCAGGGAGAAGAGCGGAGCAGGGAGAGGAGAGGAGCAGGAAAGGGGTGCAGAGAGGGGTGCGTGGAGATTCCGTGCGAATGAACTAGCTACAACACGCAGCGGCAAGCGGACTCTTTCTTTGCCTTGAAAATTACGTTTTCAGACATAGGATATCGCTTTTGTGTCCTGAAAAACGTTTGTCTAGCTCTTGGAAATAAAGTACGTTTTCATAATAAGCAGAAGTTACCTGTCCAGGAGTAATTTGGCGACCAATGCGTCAGTCTTTAGACCCTGCGTCTGCTTCAGTCGCGCCATCGCTGGAATGAATCTACAAGAATCACCTTAGTTTGGCTTCACTGCTTTTCCCCTTGTCTTCTTCTTTCAGCGACCTCAAAAATGGATTTTCTTTTGCGGCTAACTGCTCCTGGATTCTTGTCTGCCATTGCAACAAACTTTGTGCTAACTGCGAGGAAGATATAGGTCAAAAAAAGCCGCTAAGAACTGTTGCGTTGGTGGAGTAAACAGCGTCTGTGCGTCTTGCGTCTGTGGACTGTGTGACAGGCGTACGTAAACCACGTACCGGCGGCGCGCAGGCAGGTCAGTTACGCTAGAAACGTAGGGAGATTGATTGACAGCCTGTCAGCTAACAGATAACGAGGCAGTGTCGTTATCTATTGGCAAATGTTTAGCCCCACCACGTCCAGAGTTGATGAATTTTTATTCTCTTTTTTTTGGTCATCATAATTACAAGGCTACTGCATCTCTATAATGCTATCATTGACAACTTGAAACAAAAAAAATCCTCCATACAACCTTTAAAGTAGGGGTTTCAAATTATCGCGTTAATTGCGATTAATTAATTACAGTCATATTTAGCGCGTTATGTTTTTTAATCGCGTTAATCTCATTTTTAATCTCTAACTTTTCTGTTTCTGTATGCGAGTTGCTTTATTATAAAACTTGTTTTTATGTGTTGTTGGGACAACAACACACACACACACAAAAAACACATATTTTATTTTTTTTAATTTCGGTAATTCCACTCATTGCCGGAAACCCACACAAAACGCGCGCAGTAAGAGCGATGTAAACGTCATGTTAACGATGGCGGCGTCAGGCACAATGGACGAAGTCGAAGAGCCAGTAGAACAGAGGCAGCAGCGCACAGGTAAAACACATTCGTTTCTTGGAAATTATTCTCCCGACGTGAAATATAAAAGAAAATAACTAATATAAAATTGCCTACAACTTAAACGTCACTGGTGAAAACAACCTGCATAGGCTCATGATGTCTGCACTACTGTCCTATAGTGACCTGCCACATGAGGGGACAAGCACACAAACACACACAAATACACACAAACACAAACACACACAAACACACACGCACACAAACACACACAAACACACAAACAAACACAAACACAAACACACACCTTCATCATCGTCATTAACCTGAGAACGCGCGGACCACGTTTCCTTCCGTAATTACTGCGCGGACACCGACGTGCTCCCGTGCGCCGCGCGTGGATCGTGTTTTCTAGTGTACACTGTGTAAAACGCGCTTCCGCCTGTGCGCCTCTAAACCAGAACTAACACCAAGACTAAAACCAGGACTAATCCAGTCCAGGACTAAACCAGGTCTAAACCAGGACTAAACCCAGAACTAAAACCAGAACTAATACCAGGTCTAAACCAAGACTAAACCAGGACTAAACCAGAACTAAAACCAGAACTAAAACCAGGTCTAAACCAAGTCTAAACCAGGACTAAACCAGAACTAAAACCAGAACTAAAACCAGAACTAAAACCAGAACTAAAACCAGGTCTAAACCAAGTCTAAACCAGGACTAAACCAGAACTAACACCAGGACTAAAACCAGGATTAATCCATTCCAGGACTAAACTAGGACTAAACCAGGTCTAAACCAGGTCTAAACCAGGACTAAAACCAGTGATCTCATATATAAAACATTTCTCTATCAATAATATTTTTAATATGGTTAAGGAAAGACTGGACTTTTTATTGTCTTTAAGTAGACAAAAGTTATTATGTTCAGATTTCCTCGTCTTTGCTGCTTTACAGCAAACAGTTTCTTATTCATGGAGACTTGGGCTCAACAGCCAATTTGGAGAGATTTGTTAAACAATAAATGACTTTATAAAGTCACTTTTTTTAATCTACAT